TTTTTGTTTTTATATTTTGTTTGTTGGTAGCCGGCGCCTCAAACTGAAATTAATAGCAAGTTGATGAGTTGTTGAAATTATAATGTTCCAGCCATCCCATCCATCCATCCAATTCAATGCTCTTGCGGGGCATTTGCCATGTCATGTTTTACGGACAGGCGCCGCCGCCGCGCAACCACAATATACAGAAATGTGCGAGTTAATCCCCACCCCCCACCACCACCCCCTTCCACTGGAGTCTAACAATCTACCAATCCAAAGTAAATGCGTTAAATTATCGGCTTTTGTGGGCCTTTTGTGAATGGTTCAACCTGAGGAAAGAGGTACGAGTACGAGTATGTTGTAGGCAGGTTCCTTTCAAGTTTTGCGGTCACCATTTGTTGATGCGGAGTTGTGGTCTGGCCCTGGTGGGGAGGCCCCCCCCGCCCCACCCAAATGTCAATGCAATCAAAACAGTTTCCGCTCAATTAATAGGGGATGGGGGTAGGGGGCTACCATCGTCTGGAAGATACATATTCTCTTGACTAATTAGTTCGGCTATCAAAGAGCCATAAAACAGAAACCGAAACTGAAAACTGAAACGAAAACTCTACACGAAAATAAAGTTGAACAAATTTGTCAACTTCCGACCCCAAATAAAAAATCAAAATTATTATAAATCTTAGCGTTGATAAAAAAACAAAAACAACAACAAAAAAAGGAGGGGGAAAACGACGTTCGACCGACCGACCGACCGACTGTAGGTATATGTAAATCATGGGCTGGAAATGCTCTCGAATATGTTGCTTATTCGGTTGACAAATAAACGCCTCTGCATTGTCTGCGGCACTTGACAAATGTCCGACGACTCGCATCCGCATCGCATCGCATGGCGTATGTATGTATCTTTGTATCTGCGGCTCAAGCCCCGCTGCTGCTGAGAGACCTTTGGGGGCTGGCTTTGTCTCTGCATCGGAAATCTGGCTTCAAATCTGAGACTGTGGCGCCAGGCATCGCGCATGCCACATTAAAAATTTGTTGAGCTGCTTCGTCGACTGTGTGATTTCCCCCTCTCAGCGAAACGGAGGAACCCCCTCCTCCCCACCACATATCCCACAGCCCCATTTGTTTTTATTTGTTTATAATTTTTCAAAGCTTAAATGGAGCGTAAGCACCACACACACAGAGAAAAAAAAAAGAAAAAGAAACCATGGCAGTGCTTTGTATGTATAGTGGTGGTGGGGGTGTGGGTGATGGGGATTGGCGACACCAACAGGTTGTCTTTGAATCTTGAGAAACGTTCATCATTTGAATGGGATTGAATGGGATTGATTGGAGAGCAGCCCCATATCTACATTTATGTATATGGCAGTGGCACTATCTATCTATCAATTATCCAAATGGGGGAGCCGCTCTTTGTTCTCTTCGCTTTTTTAATTCGGGGCTATAAAGCAGTGACAATGAATGTCTGTTACAGTGCGTGGCAATAGTATTAGGCGTACATTTTTGCACATGCATAAATATTTAAAAAAAAAAAAAAAAATCATTTCATTCACTTATCAAAAAATTAAATGCTAAAACTCGTATGGGTGTCGCGCGTTTTGCAGCAGCGCCCTTTGGTCGGCCGTGTTTGTGCTCAAAATACTAAATAGTGCCGAAAATACTAAACAATGTAGCACAATAAATATTGAGAATAACTTAAATCGTTAGCTGGCCAAAGGGGCATTCGGGCATTCGTTTTGCCAATCTTTACTTTTATTTCAATTCCTATTCAATCTCTTGTTTCTGCCTTACAGCACTGTCGCACACTGTATACCATAACACATTGTTGTTGTGGTTAGGGGGTTGTTGGGAGTCTGGTCAAGTTTTTTATACCCGTACTCAAAAAGAGTTAAGGAGTCTTGATAAGCGACTAGATCTCAGAGACTATAAGAGCTAGAGCAACCAAATTTTGTTTCCAGACTCATGTGATATCATACTGCTACAAGTGTGTAAAATATTTTAAAATTCTACATTAAGCTCGCAAATCTATGTACTGACTGAGTACGGGTATAAGAGTAGAGTCGCGTCCACAGAAGCGACTCACAGGTTCCTTCTCGTTTGATCTATGACTACCTTTGAAGTGCCACAGACCGTTCAACCTCTTCCATGTCAAAGTTCGAGGCAAAGTGAAGGAAATCGAAGCAAAGGAAAGGCCGAATAAAGCAGGGGGAGTGGAGTAGGAGGGGGAGGAATAATGTTTGTGTTGGCGCCCAACGTGGGGCCCCCGTGCAACTAAACTTCTGTCCCGTGGCGCGGGACGTCGGCAAAAGTTCTTAAGAAGTTCGTTGTTTTTTTTTTTCTTTTTTCTGTGTCATGCCCCCTTGCCTGTGGCTGCTGCTGCTTCTGCCCCTGCCCTTTCTGTGGCTCTTCTGTTGTTGTAAAATTTATTATAAAACTCACAGCAGGCGGGCACTCGACTTGACTCAACTCGAGTGGGGGGGGCGGGGCGGCTGTAGAGCTGTACAAATTTCCCTGTTGACATCTTTTGGACCTGTCTCTCTCTCTCTGCTGGTCCATCTCCCCTGCTGCTCAGTTGATGAGCTGCTGACGAACTGCTCACAAAACTCTTTGATGCCACCATGGGGATCGGGTTACTCAAAGACAAGTAGAGAGTAGAGAGGCGGCCCCCGAAAGTGGGTGCTACTTTCCTTGGAAATCAGCTGGAAGCTCCCCCCAAATGATTATTGGGGGGGACATTCGATATGCTTGATATATGCAGTGTGCAGCAAACACATCTTTAATGAAGATGCAAATGTTTTCTCCCCTGCCACTGACAGCTCACAGATGTCTCCCCTCTCTCTCTCTCTCTCTGCCTCTGTCTCTTGCACCGATCATCGTCTCGTGAGACGATTAAGATCTGATGCTGTTTGGTGTTGTTGCTGCCTGTTGCCTGCCTGTTGCCTCCTCTTCAACTTGTTGGCATTTGTCACTTTCGTTTAGATCTGAAGAGGGACAGCACACGGGCACAGGGCCCCCCATCCACGTTCCACGAGAGAGGCTGTAAAGAGGTGTTGATTGTGTCACACTTGTCGCCTTTTCGAGAAGAACAGAGCCCAAAGCATCGGACACACGGCACACCAGAAACAGAAGAAAGGAATGCCGCCTAAATATCCTTTAACTGTAACCAATGACACATCAAAGGGCCAGACACCGAACACCGAAGACCGAAACCAAGAGACTTACGGAGGGCAGACGGCGCAGACAACAAGCAACCGAATGGCTCGTTGCGCATGCGTAATCCCCGTTAAGCACTAGAATTCGAATTCGAATCGGTTTATGGGCTGGAAACAGCTGTGTGGCAAGCAAAGGGGATAACCTGTTGCTGGTTGCATGGTGCAAGGTGCATTCCTACATTCCAACCACACACTGCACACACTCGTTGCCCATTGTTCTGGCAAACACGATCCTAATGATGTTGTTGAGCGATGGGTTCTGGTATCCCACCAGAACATATGCTGCGGATATCCTTGACAGCACAGCATCTGGGTGCCAAAAGGACTTGATTAGGATGCAGAGAATGCTGGGAAAATTGGATGGATGGACAAGTAGAGGAGGTGCTCGCTAGTTGGCTAGCTGTCGATGGGTTCCCACCTCTGAGCAGATGATGGATAGGAGGAGAGCCACTGTTACAGCTCTGGGAATATATCGCTGCAGTCCTCCAATTAAATTTCTCTGCTCTAAAAACGCTTCCGCAATTATTATGACTGCCTTGGATAATGATTATGATATCCACTTTGGATTTTGCTCAATTTGTTAGCTACTCCGCGAGGCTTAGCCTGCCTAAGTCCCATAAAAAAAACACTCATTCACATAATCCAATTCCATGCGACTTTTAAACAAAAAAAAAAAAATCACGAGATAATTGCTTCGGACATGCGCTTAACATTGCATGTTAGTTAACATTTTGCTGCCCTTCTTTGCGCTTCTCACTGTTAAGAGCGAGGGGCCTACTCCTTCTCATTCTCCTTCTTTTCTTTTTTTGTGGAATTTTATTCTTTTGGCAACTGGGGGACTGGGCGGACTGGGGGGACTGAGGGGACTGAGGATGTTGCATGGCGAACATTGAACTTCCGTTTTTAATGCTCTGCCACGCCCACGCTGCCACAACGACCACCGCCCCACTCATTCCGTTTGCTTTTCGCTCTGTTTTCGGACAGACATTAATTTTATTTTTATTGTATTTGGTTTTGGTTTTTTGGTCTCCCATCGAAAAGGCCAAAGCAATGAAGCGTTGCAAGGCGGCACACACAACGTTGAAAAATCGCGTCCGACTATTTTTTATGATTTTTTGTTGTTGTTTGTTTTATTTGTTGGAGCGGTGCGGTGCGGTGCGGTGACCGCGTTTGCTTTAGTTTAAACATTTGCCAGTCAAAGCGCGTTTAATTTATGCCTTTTTTATGCTGATGAAACCCCCAACTCAGACCAGACCGGGTACACCACTTAGAGGCCGGCATAGTGGACTAAAACATAGTCGGTCGTCGGTCGGTCGGTCGTCGTTAAAGCAATGTCTACTCTACCCCCAGCCTTGGCTCTTCCTGTCTCCAAAGAAGGCTTTATCTTGAGGAATTTTCAATGGCATCAAGACCCAACAAACTTTCTCAAACTGAATATATAACCGAGAGAAAATATAGATCTGCGTTTTATAAAATATAAGCCTAACAGCAGAGCTGTTTTGCACTCCAGGCAGCCCTGGCCCTGCCATATCCTGCCTAAAGTGAGTCCTACAATTCCTTGGACTGCTGATTCCATTTGATTTTTAGTTGATGAAAGTCACGAGGCCGGCCATCCTTTTGCTCACATTTTTTGTTGTTGGTTTTCGAGCAGAACAAATCGCTTTGCACTGGCAGCTGACAGTCAGCGCTGAGGAGGAGGAGGAGCAGCAGCAGCAGCAGCAGAACTAGGAGGCCGGCCCCCTGCCTTCCCTGTTAACACCAGCGAATGGGATTTGGCTGTACTGTTGGTTGGGACTGTTGGCTCACCTGTATGACGCGCATGGGCAGTCCCGTTTCCTTGGCCAGTTGCTCCCTAATGTGGCGTGTCGGTTTCGGTGTCTGATTGAATGCCGTTTTCAGTACCTCCAGCTGTTTGGCCTTGATGGTGGTGCGGGGACCGCGACGCTTCGAGCCATTGGCATCGTCGGGACTTTTGTTCTCCGCCTGTGAATCGCCGCGTCCATCCGGATCCCCATCCAAGGAGCCCTACACACAAAAAGAGAGAGAGAGAGAGAGAGAAGAGAGAGAGAGAGAGAGAGAGAGTGATTGAAGCTCATAATCATTTGCCAATCATTAATCAAGAGAGTCGAGAACTTTTACGGATACTCCTCGCCCCTCGTGCGCCCAGCAACAAGTTAATGATCGACTGAACTGAACTGAACTGAACTAAACAGAACAGATCTCTTACCTGATCGGAATCGTCATGGGTATTTTTGCTATCGGTGCTCATGCTTTGTACTGATATATCCGATGTGCCCAGCGGTCCACCCGCTGAGTCTGGGCCATTCGGTCCGAGTACGCCCAAACCCAGTGCCGTGGCCCGCAAATGCGGCGGATCATCATCGTCATCGTCTTCGCTCGCCGAGCCCATTAATGAATCTGTAAGAGGGCAGAGAGGATGAGAGATGAGTACAAATTGCCTTAACAAATGGCTGAAGGAGGAGACTAAGACTTAGACTAGGTCGTCCTTGGTAGTTGTTGGCTTGTGCCATGTTCCACCCACCCACTGAGAGGCACTTAAAATACAATTGCAATAAATAATATTTGTGCGGGCATAAGCCGTAAACGACGCTCTGATTCTCCGCTCTCCGCTCTCCGCTCTTTTTGGTCACGTGTCGCCATTTCATGGTCTAAGTAGCTGCCTGCCACACAGCCACTGCTGACACTGCTGTAACTGCTGTAACTGCTGTAACTGCTGCCACTACTGCCACTGGGGGCACGTGTCAACTGCTGATGCCTATATAAGTTGATTAGGGACTCGGAAGACCTGGTCTGGTGTGGGTCTGGGTCTGGGTCTTGGTCTTGGTCTGTTCTGATCTGTGGGCCATGCAAAATGCTGACACGCGTCTCAGTCCATCCTGCTGCATTCTCTGCACCAGATAAGCGCCACGAGACCTGCCACTAGCCGGTAGACACGCATTGGGTTGTGTGTGTTGAAACGTGTCACTCATAGAAATCGCTCGATTCGATTGTCTTTATCTTGCGTCACAGACAGCAGCACACACAACCCTCCTCGAATGAGAGATGGAAGAATGAATCTCTGCCAGTGCCAGTGCCACTGCCACACACACAACTGGTCCCCGGGGGGACACCTGACAGAGAACCCCAGAGACTTAAACTGGGAGACAGAGAGACAGAGAGAGACCCCTTGGGACAGTTCTATCTCGCAGGCACTTGCCAAAAATAAATTACACTTTATTATGCATAATCTAATCCGCACCAGATGCGACCAAGCGACAGACCGATGTGCATCCCATCCATCCCATTCCATCCCATACACCCATCCACCAGGGGGTTGGTTAGTTGGTTGGTTGGTTGGTTGTTTGTTCCTTCGTTCTGAAGGGGCATATGCCGCGAATTAGGTTGCAAGCAACAGCAACAACAACAACAACTACGACGAAAAAAAAAACCCATTAAACTGAGACCCAGGTGCCTCTCTCTCTATTCGTAGTCCGATTCCTATTCCTATTCCTGCCACCTGTCAAACTAGCGCCAGGAGATCCAAAGCTTAACGCATTCTGAGCTTCACAGATGAGAGCATGAGGTTGATGTGATGTGGAGTTGTGAGTCGAGTCGAAACGAAACGAAACGAAACGAAACGAGACGAGAGTTATGATGAGCATAATAATAATCATAGTCATGAAGATGATGATGATGATGAGGCACAGTCATCATCCCATCCCATCCCATCCTGCCCTGCCTGGCAGTCATCATCAGCATCTCATCTGTTGCAACCAAAGCCATTGGATGGCAGCTTAGAAATCGTCTCAAGAGTCTCCAGAAGAGGCTTTTGGTAACACTGACTGAGAACACTTAGGAGGAGGAGGCTTAGAGGTCTGTACAGATGTGCTTGGGATATGCAAATAAATACTCTCAAAAAAAAAAGTACATCAAAAATAAATAAATAAATAAATGTAATATACAAAACAGACAATACTATTTTAACAAATATTACAAACAAATAATTTAAACCAGCAATAAAAATGATAAACAAACATATTATTAAAAACAAATAAAATAAGAAAAAAATTATTTTAAGAAAAAGGAAAAGGGAAAATCGTAAGTTAAAATTGTAAGTGATACAAAATGATTGCTATTCTTTTAAGCTATAATTATTATTAATTTAATATGGTTTTAATAATTTGCTTGTAATTTTTGCTAAAATCTATTCCGCAAAAAAAAACAGTAGAGCTTCCACTTTCCAAGTCTTTTTTATAGAAATTCCTGAAGAAAACCTCAATTTTCCAGGCATATATTTGCCAAAAGATCAATTAAAACTTTGGCTAATTTTTTGTATGAATTTTAAAGCATTTTCGCAGCTCAAAAAACATTCAGGAAACTCCTCTTGGGTGGCATCAGTGTGCCCGCGCCTCCTGTGGCAATGCTGGCAAAAATCATTTGCATGAGTTGTGCATCAGATGGCGGCTCAGATGGGTTACCCTGTGCCACTTGCCGCAAGTCCTTTAGTCCTCTCTTTTTGTTTTGGGACAATTGACCCGCAGTGAGACCGACCGACCGAGAACCACCCATTGGAACAAACGAAACGGAAATTTCAAGTGTTTACCAGCATCGCTTTAGTCGCTTTACTCGCCGTGTGCCACATGCCACACAGAAACCACCCAACCCAGTATGGTGCGTCTGCCACTGCTGCTGCTATTCGATTCGATTCCATTCCGTATGGGTGGTGGGGGGAAGGCGCTTGAAGCGCTTCAAGTTTTGTTGTAAACACATGTTAATAAACACGCGGACCAGAGACCCAGAGACCAGAGTTGCCACACGGCTTGAGCAGTGGAGGGTGGGCAGCAGGCAGCCAGGCGGGGGGAGTAGAGGGTTGTCACTACCAGCAGCAGCAGCAGCAAGCAACAACAACAACAACAACAGCTTGCAACAAGCAACAACAAGCAACAACAAGCAACAACAACAGCTCGCTGCTCTCGAGAGCATCACTCAAATTAACTTTGAAAACCATTCAGGAACACTTCATTTGATTGCCACAAAAACCGTTCCTGCCACAGCCACAGCCACGACGCGACGCGGCAAGAGAGACCTTCCTTCCTTCCCTCCCTTCTACCCGCGTTGTCCTTCCTTGCTGGCCCCCTTGTGCCACAAGCAGTTTTGGTTGTTGTTTGTAATTGTTGTTGTAGCAATAGCAATTATGCCATTCGAAGCAGCAGCAGCAGCAGCAGCATCCCTCGCCCAAAAAGGGGGTGGCAGTGGCAGGCACACCCCCCCCCCCCCCTGCAGCCATAGAAAAGTTCAAACACTCATTTTTCGCCGCTTAGAAAAATATTTCAGTAACCTCTGCGGGGGCATACCCCCTGCCACAGCCACTGCCCCTGCCCCACCCCACTCCATCTGTACTGTTGTCCTGTGTCCTGTTTGTCCTAGACAAACATCCCAGTGCCAGTGGCAGGGAAGACGAACAAGTGCAGCATCAGCATCAGCATCAGCAGCAACAGCAGCATCCTCAGCCTCATTTCTGACTGACAGTTAGGCAAACAGACAGGCAGTTAAATAAACAAAGGCGCCTGCCTGGTGGCATGAATCCATCACTTTGACCCAAGAAATGCCCCCGCGGAAACCCTGGGAATCCTTTTGGCATCATCTGTTTGCATAGCCAAAAGTGCGACACAACAGTTTTCGGCGGCAAGTCCTGGCACTGAGGTTTAAGCAGGCCGATTGAAGAAGGGAGCCCTTATGCCTTATGCCTTTCGCCCCGTTGGGGTATTCCTCCTTGCCTCGTATCATTAAGTACTCGTTAAAGGGGACACTCGCAACCCTCCGATTGGCTTGCGTGGAGAATACCCGCGCGTCCACCCACGTGGAAATGGTTGTGTCACGTGAATCGAATCTACCTGTCATTGCGGCAGGAACAGCTTCCTTTCGCTTCCTCAAAGAGAGGGCAGGGCACCCTGCCACTGCCACCCTCTTTTGCAACCCCCCAATCGACATAGACAAAGCGCACACACATTAATTTCGAATTAGTTTTGCATCATGTGGTTCACGATGCAGAAAAATCGACTCCACTCTGAGGGTACGGGGTGCTTTGCTTTTCCCCCCCTTTAAACCAGAGAAAGAAAAACGAACGACTCCAGTGACTGCTCCACACAGAGAGGCGAGTGGCATGCCACAAGGAGGCAGTGTGGGTATGGCAATGGGATGGATTCCTTCGTGTTTATGGGCAACTATTAAGTGCACAACGTAGTGCGGCATGAAAAATGCGGCATGGGACGTGGAACAGATCGCTGGATTTTCTACATGAGCGCATTCTGAAAGTCGTTTGCCGTCGCATCGCTGCTGCCTCTTCATTTCCATTCATGCAACGCGAGACCGTGTTGGGGAGTGTGTGGTGTGGAGTGGAGTGGTGTGGTGTGGAGTGGAGTGGAGTGGAAGGCTGGAGAGGAGTTCTTCGAGTTTGTTGGCTGTAAAATTAGGTTAATTCCTGTCAGTGCGTTGCTGATTTGAATTGTCACACACACGGGACAGACAGACAGACAGAGAGACAGAGAGACAGAGCGACAGAGAGAGAGAGAGAAAGAGAGGCAGACGGGGGACACATGAGAGCCAAAGATACAGATTCAGATACTCTGGGTCTCCGTCTTGGCTGTGGGATTTACATTGAATGCCATCCGCATTGACGTTCGCTGACGTTTTTGCTGTCTCCTCTACCAACTCGCCAACTCCCCAGATGCAGGCCGCACCCCGATCTCGCGGCTTAGTGGACGACGACGACTCTAATCCCCTGACTGCCTGTCTCTCATCCTGCCTGCCTGCCTGCCTGCATTCTGTGTGAATAGCTATGTGAATATCTGTGTATGTGTGTGTTGTCTGCAGCTCTGCTTTCGTGCTGCCTTTTGCCACACATGACAGTTACGCAAGCAAAAAGTGTCATCGGCTGGAAAATGTTATGCAATTCCATAACCGATTGGCAAGTGTTTCAGCTGCTGCAGTGATAGTGGGGCGGGGTGTGGTGGTGCGGGGCGGGTAGTGTTTGAATTCTCAAGAAATTGTTTTTAACAATATTTAATTTCTATAGAAAGAAAATTGTGATATAAACAGATTTTAATCTCAATTACAAAAATTTCAATAAGCAAAAATAATAATATTTTAAGCCTTTTAAAAACGCATTTAAACTCAAGAAGTTACTTTAAAAAAAGATTGGAATTTTTAATTATTTATTTTAAGTTTTTTGCACTTAAAATTTATTTTATTCCTATTCCTTAAAAAATTCCTCATTCCACGCCTAAACACGTACAGATTTATATGAAAAATGCCAAGAATAAAACTTCATTTGCTAAAACTAATATCCAAAGAGAAACTCAACACTTTAATGATCTTTAGTGTTCGAGGATATTCAAAGTTTATCCCCTTTTTGCTTT